CAGATGTTTGGCAGGTTGCCCTTACATTATCCCTTTCATTCTTCTATGGCCCTCCTGCAATTTCCCACTTCCACCAAAGCAATGACTTGTCAACCAGACCTCCACTTTTCTTACTCACCTGAGGTCTCTCCTGCCCACTCACTCAAACCTGGCTGTCCTAGGAGCATTTTCACTCATTTTTCTCTAGCAATAAAATTCTCACATTCTGGAAAGCAGTGTTTTTTTTTCACTGATCTAAGCATGCTCCATCGGATGGAGATTCTCCCTAAGGTCTTCCTAAAAAGTGGTGCAGAAAGTTGTCAGTAAGAAAGCAGTCTTATCGGATAAAGGTCCACAGTCCAGTTTCAGATTTCTCAGTTCCAGAGGGGGGGTTGATGGCATTCATAGTTTAAACAAACGCTAGTTTTGTCAAAATGCTAGCACATGGGCAAATATAAAGTCCCATACTCTGCATCAGGCTGATGTTGTGCAAAATTAGGTCTGGGTAAAACCTTGGGAGAATCATTTCTAATTCCCAACAGCATAATACACTCAATAGTAATGTATATTAACTAAGACAGTGGTATTTTCAAGGCTGCAGTCATCAAGCAATAGGCATATGATGAGTGTAGCTGGGACAATACGTTGATTCTCCTCCCTCACAATTATGAACAGCTGGAACATCCTCAGTTTACAATGGGTCTGACACTGCAAAGCAACAAGAACAAATGTTTGGAAATCTAATCACATAATATAGCTGAATGCTGACAAGAGAACCCTGCTCTAGGGGAATATACTAGTTTATAGCACATGGCTGCTATGTGAGAGAACAAATTACATGCTATTGATATCTCCTGTCCTGCAGCCCAGCCTCTGAATGATTGACAAGATTGAAGCTCAGTCACTCGACTTCCTCAAAGCTTCAGATGTGCTTCTTGAAGCAAAGATAAGAGTTTATGAAGGAAGATGTTTCATACAATGTGATCCGCTCAAATTATATTTGAGGTTAAACACTGAGTTGTTGAAAAACAACATGCTTTTTTTATAAATGCAGTAAACAGACCAACCTCTCATCTACATGGAGATAACAAGGAGGAAGATTGGATCTGCTCTTCATGGTGAATTTCCAGCTTTTTTCCCCACAAAAAGACATTTACAAAAACACACGCCTCCGACAAATAAATGTAAGAGGGAGTCTGTGGTCCAAAAAGGAGCTTACTTATAAAAGTAAGGGCTTAAGTCCCATGCTGGTTTTTTCACTCATGTACTCAGAATTTGTTCCAATGCACATCTACACTTCAAAGATGAGCCAGTGATTTTCTTGTGCTTGAGGAGCACAGCCAGTATGATGGATGAATTGTGTAACGTCTGCTGATAACTATCACACCATCAGCCAGACCAACTTCAGCTGTCTTCTGTCCCTCGTTGTCTATTCCCACTATTTCATAGATTCTGCTCCCTCTTCTGGCCAGCAACATAATAAAAGAAATAATTCCCCCTTTTTAAATTTGATTTTGAGCATGGGGAGTTGAGAAATGGAAAAGAAACTTCATATTACTTTGGCAGGACAAAGAGATCTGAGCTGTGTATCCACTGCATTTCCGTATTCGGATTTCTCTGTAACAAAGACTTGCAGTATTCGTAGTAAAAAAGAAGCTTAAAAAAATAATTACAGGTATTTTTTGTTACATTTTCAATTAATTGGGTATCTCTTGGGGGGAAGGTAGGAGAGAAGATGGGAAGTGCAAGGAAAGAAAGACCATCAATCAGCTTTGCTGTATCTATTCACTTCTCCCTCTCAGCACAATATTGCTCCTTTTCAGATTTGTGCGAAAGAATACTGCAGACCTAAAAAAGGAAGTGAGCAGAGATCCCATCTTTAGGAATATCAGACTTGCCAAAATGGCTTCAGATAATGTTATATTAGCTATAGCATGCAGAGCACATGCTCAAAAAGGCCAGTATTTTCTCTGCTTCATTAAGCAATATCCAAAAGGTGTGCCTCCAAAGCAGATACTGCAGTTTCTAACTAATTTTGCCTTTTGTCTGGTTCTCCACTCCTCTTGGAGGTTACCAACCACAGACATTTGGGACAAAGGGCTTTCAAACATTTTTTGGCCATTAAAGATGTCACCAAAAACTCAGCTAATGTAGAAGAAGGTATGAACTGCATTACACTGTGCACCCAGGACAGAAAAGCATTGCCTCTTTAACAATTTCCTTTGATGGAAGTTTCCTGAGGCCTCCCACAGTTGGACTTTGTCTGATGAAGCTCCCCAAAGCCATGTCTGAGGCGGAGCAGAAAGGACAACTCAGTGACAGCACAGCTTGCCACCACGCGTGTGATGAATGGGCTTGCAACAGAAGCGATATTGGTTTTTACATGGAAAGGAAATTGCATTGAAACTCTGAGTGTATGGTTTTAGCCAAAGCATTGTCTGTACACACAATAATTCATTTGCTCAATAGACAGCAAAATAAAGAGATGATTCATTCAGCCTTCTCTAGCTGACAATTTTGTAAAATTTCAGATTTTACATCATGTTCATTTCCAGTTGACAATGTCTTACATATCTTGATTACCTTTCCTCAGAGAGTATATTGCAGCTTGTTGGACATCATTTTCCTATTCTTTCCCTCATAAGGAGAGCAGAGTCTTGATCCACAGCAGAAGACTGAACTGGTGTGATCAGAACAGCAACCAAAGTTCACACCAGTCAGAACTGCACATGGTGAACCTGGCTTTAAAACCAAAGCTCCTTTTAAGCTATAATTCCTAAATCCACTATTAGTAGCAAACTTGAAACAATACTACGTACTAGGATGCAATATTCCTCTGGCAGTTGTACCAGCTCTAAGGCTGGAGTCTTCTACAGGTCTCTTAGCTGCTGCTATTCAAACACTCGGGCCCGATTCTGCACTCCTTTGTTCAAGCACCAGTCCAAGGGAGTGAAAGCTGGTCAGAGAAAAATGTGTGGGATCAGATCTTGTGATATGGCAAAAAAAAAATCCACTTTCCATGAAAGGAAGCTTGTTTTCAAACACATTCCACAAGGTGAGCAGCTCTTTCAGCCCTTCTGCATATAAGATGAGGCTTTTATTTTTTTCCCTGAGAGTGGGGCTCACAGTCCCCAAGCTGCCTGTACCACCTCTGCACGCATCACTGAGAGAGGATCCTTCTCTTACTGAAACAGCTACTCATTGAATAGTTCTTCATTATCTAAGAGATAGCCAGGAAATATTTAATAAATATATTACCCATTGCATCAAAATAAATATCATTTATAAAACATTCATTGTCTTTTGCTCATCATCATCATCATACAGTGTATATTAATGACCCCAGTACAGATGAGATTTACAAACGTTTGCCTGAATTTTTCCCCTTAATGCATTCTCCCACTTACAATAATCATTGCATAAAATGCATAAAAACACAATGCAGCTTTATGCCAGTGGCATATACCAAAGATGAAACTAAAGATCTTGTGAGAGTACAAAAAGTCTTCAGACAGGAGGAATGGCTTTAGGTGCGCCTTCAAGTGGCACTTGATCCAACTCAACTCTGCAGCATTTTAGAATCAGAGCCAATATTTACTTGAGAACTCAGAATTACTTAATCAAATAATAGAACATATAAAAGCAAGCTGACTTTTTGGAAAAAAAAATGTTTAATAATACAATAATAGTTGTAGTATCGTCCAGTAAAGGTGTATTGTAAAAGTGTTCTGAATATTAATTTACCTCAGATAACTTTAGAGTTGTAAATACTTGCATTATATTGAGGTAGACAGTAAAAAAAAATTCTTTTCTCCATTATTAGCACAGAATTTAAATCTTGTAATAATATCTTAAGGAAATGATAATGTTAAGTAAGGATGAAATATTTGATTAATGCTTAATTCTGTACAACTCAAATATAAACTTTTAAAAATATTAGAAATTATAACATTTCGAGTGCATATCATGTTTTGTACATTAAAAAAAGAAATGCATGTTGTTCATCTCCATTTTGCACTTTTCAGTCTGTTTAAATAAACAAATATTTACAACTTTTATAAGAACAACAGTGCATCCGAAGCAAAATGTGCATTTTAAATTAATGCTCCTGTTCGAGTCTTTTTATTAGCATTTTATATTATTATTCTCTTCTCTTTTTTATTTTTTTCCACAAGTTTGTAGCTCTGCAATACCAGATAAGCCAACAATTCTAGAAATCGGTGGGGAAAAGCCTGAAACTACGAACATATTAATTACATTAAGAAATGGCTAGGCATAGCTTCGAAGTGCACTTTCCTCAGGTGAAGCCGCAGCTGAGACCAAAGGTGGGAAAGAAACAGAAATCTTAGACAAAACGCCTTTTCCAGCACAACATTTGCATATAATACTGCTGCAAGTTGCGAGGGCTGCCGAGACACAGCTACCCAGAGACCTGGCATTGGCATCCTTGCGCTCTTGGTGAGACCCGAAGGAGTTTCCTTTCCAATCCACCCCCGTTGTGCTTTCAGTAACACTTCGCTTTTCACAGTTCTTCTCTGCTGTCTTAAAATAAAATCTAGCTGATAATTACACTTAAGCAACTCTTGGTTGGTTTTTTTTTCTCCTTTTCTCTTTCTTTTTTTTCCCCTTGGGGGGGGAAGGGGGGAGCATAGGCTATTTCTGGCTGGTAAGCTTGCAGGAATGTGAAAGAGAGAGGGAAGAAATGAAACAGCCCTCTTCAGAGCAACTTCAGAGAGAGGGATCAGTCTGCTCCCTCTCCCTCCCCCGACTCTTTTTGTACTTGGTAAATTGCCTTCACCTTTGGAGGGAGGAGGATAGATCGCCAGATAAACCCGAGGGAGGAGAGGGGAGCGGGGAAGGGACCGGGAGGGGGCCTCGCCGCCTGCCCGTCCCGCTCGCCCTTCCCCGCCGGCAGCCGCGGGCCGAAGCTGCCGTAGCCCCGCCGCCACCGCGGGCAGCCCCGGCGCCGGGCGGCCGCTCCCCTCCGCCGGGCACGGCACGGGGGCCCCGCTCGCCGCTGCCGCCGCAGCTCCGCCAGACGCAGACCCGGCTGCCGCCGAGGGGCGTCCCGCCCGCTACCTGCAGCCGCAGGACTCCACCACCATGTCCTCGTACTGCTTGTACACCACGTTGTTGCCCGCGTCGATGTAGAGGATGCTGATGGGGGTCAGTTTGGTGGGGACGCAGCAGCTGGGCGGCGTGGAGCCGGGGTCCATGGAGTTCATGAGGGTCTGGATGATGGCGTGGTTTGTGGGCTCCAGGTGGGAGCGCAGCGGGAAGTCGCAGACCCCCTCGCAGTGGTGGGCCTCGTATTCCAGCGGGGCGATGATCCAGTCGTCCCAGCCCAGCTCCTTGAAGTTGACGTGCAGCGGCTTCTTGCTGCAGCGCAGCCGGGACTTCTTGCCGTGCCGCTTGCCGTGCCGGCTGGCGAAGGCGGTGCGGCGCTGGCGCCGGGCCGGCGGGCGGCGGGCAGCGGGCGGCGGCGGCGGGGGAGCGCCCAGCTCGGCTCGCAGCTCCCCGAGGAGGCTCCGCCGCCGGGCGCGGGTGAAGACCACCAGCAGCGCCCGCTCCTGCGGCGGCCGCGGCCGGCGGGCGAAGCCCAGGCCCCGCAGGTCGAGCCAGCGCCGCGACCCGCGGTCCGCCGAGGCCCGCAGCTCCAGGCACAGCCGCTTCCAGGGCCGCTGCTCCCGCAGGCCCTGGCGCACGTCGAACACCTCCCAGCCGGCGGACGGGGCCGCTCGCGGGTCCAGGGTGCGGGAGTCCAGCGGCCGCGGCGAGAGGCAGGCGGAGAGCTGAACGTGCGGAGGGGCGGCGGGCGGCGGGCGGCCGCGGGGAACCCGGCGGAACAGCCGCAGCTCGGCCCCCACGAGCTCCTCCGTCTCCGAGAGGGTCGACACATCAAACACATACTGCTGCCGCCTCAAGGGAGCGGGCGAGAGATCGTCTGCGAGATAAAAATAATTACAGTCAGTTGGCGCTCGGGGGGATCTGCCGAGAGGTCTCTGAGGCGGGAAAGGGAGGGAAGCACGGCCAGCTCGCCCGGCCGGGGCCGCTCCTGCCTGCCTTACCCCCCCCACCCCCAGCCGGACCGGGGCCAGGGGAGGGTAGGGAGAGGAGAAAGAAGGAGAAGGGAAGAATATGGAAAGGAAAGGAAAGGAACTATGGAAGAACCCGCACCAGGCCGGAGACAGCTCTCAGCACTTAGAGGCAGACATTGCTCCACGCACATCCTCTGCCTATCAGCCCCATATAGACGTATCTGTCCTCCTCTGAGGAAAACCTGGACTTCTTTTTTGACACATCGGTGTACAAAGTGCAGCGCAGAGAGCAAACCAGATTCCCCTGAGCTGCTTTCCAATAAAATGTTTACAACCCAGCAAATACAAAAATTCCCAAAGGCCCTGCTTTTCCCCAGAAGCTAGTAAAGCTTGTATAGATTTCTATAGTAAAAGTGTCACTGGAGCCTCTGTTCAGCAGCTCCTCGCCGCTTTTCCAAAATCAGCTCGCCCCAGGGATAGAAACAGAGACTAAAGAAATACACACCCGCCCGTTATTTACCGATATCAAAGGTCATTGCGATTCCTAATCAGTATGTTTCATAACCTCGCCTCTACCTGACAGGTCTCTGGGAACCTCCTGCGGGGCGGGAGAGACAAGGGGATGATTTATGCAAACCAAAACCTTCAGACGAGCTACGGCGATGTAAAAATCAATGCGGATTAACGTGCAGCTCATCAGTGCGGATTAGCACACTCGACAGTCGCCCTGCGTCGCTGCGTGTTCCCCTAGATGTCAGCGGGGAGATGGAGCGTGGAGTGCAGCGGGGACAGCGGGAATTGCTGGGAAAAAGACCTGCCCCGCAGCCAGGCCACGGGATCCTACGGCGGAGCCTGGCTGCCTGCCGAGCGCGTCCCCCTCGCCCCGCAGGGACCCGCCGTGGGAGGCCCCGCCGCCCGCCCGCATCGCGCACCCACGCGGCATCCCAAGCTGCGGAGCACGGCACGGCCGCGGTCCCTGCACACCTGCCCTGCCCCCGGAGCCCCCTGCACACCTGCCCTGCCCCCGGAGCCCCCCGCACACCTGCCCTGCCCCCGGAGCCCCCCGCACACCTGCCCTGCCCCCGGAGCCCGGCGGCAGGAGCACGGCCGTGATCCTCGCCTCGCCCGGAGTGGCACAAGGAGTCAGCAAGGAGAGGGAGTTCCCGAGCCGGAGCCTCCCCGCCACCCCGGGGCTGCGCGCCGTCGGGAGCGATGCGGAATCGGTCAGGCCCTTCAGGCATCACAGAGAATTTGAACCCAGGCCTTTCTCATCCCTGCCTCCGCCCCCCATTTGAGGCTTGTCTGTTTCCTCGCGGTGGGGCTGCTCCTTCCCAGCGAAGGGCGAGAGGCAGCCTGGTCGTGCATCCTGCTCGGGGAGTGCGGGAGGAGACTGAAAAAACACGAGCAGAGCCCGAAAAATGTCGTCACAGTCCAGGTGACGACAACAGCTGCTTTATCGAGCTGTGAAAATAAAAGTGAAACCCATCGGGAGCTGCCTAGAGTGCTGGACAGTTTCATCAGCACTGTAAGAACAGTCCAGGATTCGGTCCATGAGTCTCCTGTGGGTTTTGGGAGCGCTTGGGGATAGTTCTGCCCTTCACAGGCGCGGGCCGTGGGGGCCAGAGGCTGAGGTGCACGTGGTTGCGGGAGGAGGGTCCAAAAGCTTAGGAGATCTCTGGTGTCATTGCCTCCTCCTTCAAGGGGGTCCTGGGACCTTCAGACAAAAGGGGTTGGGCATCCCTCAGGTAAGAAAACGCAGGTCCTCCTTCTCCTATTCCTCTCGTCTTGTGGTTTTCTTCTGCATCCAGCATCTGTCAGATACTCGGGCATCCAACAGCGCGCAGACGGATCTCCTGGTCCTACCGAGATGCCTCAGACTTCCGTTCAAGGGCTCCAGCGACCGTCGAGGAAATTAGACCAGCATCTTCCCCTGCCGCTGTCCCCAGCTTCGGGATGTGGGCAGAGCCGGGCCTGGGCACGGATTCGCTTTTAATCGCTCTCGTTGCTTAGGGGATGGAGAGACGGGAGTCACGCTTGGTTTCAGAGAGAGATGCTCGTTCTCTTTGATACTCCCAGTCGCCATGGGGTGGGGGTGAGGAGAGTGCTGCCTCCAGGTCGCTGTCCCTCCGGAGCAGACAACCTCCACACACACTCCTCCTTGTCCTGTTCTCGGCCAACGCCACGGTCCTGGGGTCCCCCATATCTCTGCCGGGGTGCAGGAGCAAGGCAGCACTGCCCGGCAGTCTTAGAATTCAGGGAAAGGGCAGCCCTTTCCCGAGGGATGAGGGGACACGAAGGTGACAGCGCCTCTCCCCTTCCCGAGGAACAGTCACGCAGGTGGCCTGTCGCGGCACAGGAAATAATCCCATTTGGGGGTAACATCCAGGCATGCAGCTTAGACGGGAGGGAAACAGCGAGAGGCTGAATTCCCCGCATGTCCCTGCTGCTGAAAATGGGCTTCACAGGGTCTATAGAGCCTTGTCACCCGGCGGTGCGGGGGAAAACCAGCACTGTGGGTGCCAGAAGGCTTGCTCAGGGATGCTCCCCGAGCAGCATCTTTTGAGACTCCTGTTTGGCGAGGGCTTGGGGCGTTGCACGGCTGCTCCGGGTTGCTCGGTGGCATGGCACGCTGGGAACACGGCCGATTTGCAGAGAAATGTGCCCCCGGTCAAGCGGATCTCTGCGTCGGGTTTCAGCAGCACCGAAACCGTGCTGGAAAAGTCCCACTGGCTCACGCAGCTGCCGGCTCCCGTGCCTCTCTCGGGAAGGCAGGGAAAGGGGCAGGGCTGCCGGTTGTTTCAAATAAGCAGCTTTGAATCCGATCAGATAAACGCTATTTATTCACTCTTGTAACCTAATAATTCCAGATGAATACATAATCCTCAACCAGTACTGGCTCGCTCCCAGCGCAGTCGAGAAGGTGGGAAAAGCAGCGGAGGGCGGGGAGGGAAAGCGCGACCTCTGGAACCTCTACAAAATGGGGAGAGACGGGTCTAAATTTGGGACCCTTTGTTCCAGGGAAGCTGCTGCCTTCCCAGCACACAAAGAGCAGCAGCAGAGACGGCGTAGAGACACGCTGATTGTCCCTCTTTCTCCCTGTGAGCAGTGCACAACGCATAGCGGCTTGTCCTCTTTAGTTTTCCCTTAAACCCAAGGAGCGACTGGGGTGAAACCCGGGGTTTCTAGCAGCCAGCTAGAGATCTGCCTTTTTCTCAGGCCAGCTGAAGCTGTCCTTACTGATATTCCCGTTACCGAAATACTTGGTCATCCAAGCAAAGTCATCCCAGCTGGGCTGGGCAAAGCCACATTGAAGAAAATACACCGGGGAGGTGTGTTTTTAATTGTAGCGTTAATGTAGATGAATGTTAGTTCCGCAGTTAGTATTAGTTCTATTTCGACTCTCCATAGTTTATTCTTTTTTTCGGACTAAAATAAAATATTAGGAGCGGGAAAGAGGGACAGAAGGACGGAGTAGGTCTGTCAGAAGTTTATGGATGTGTCAGTGGCGGATGGGAAAGAGCAGCCCTCCTCCGTTCTGTCCCTCGCGAGGCGCTGCGAGCCCGGTGCTCCCGGGCAGGGCCGGGCCTGGGGGCTGCGCCGGGCCCCCGCCCGCCTTTCCCCACGCTTCCCTCCGCGGTGCGGTGGCTGCGGTTCCAGCATCTCCGAAGCTACATGAATGACTGGCTTGGGACGTTTCCCTGAATTCCCTGTGTGAAGCCTCTCCCGTTTCCCGGGTTGCTTTCTAGCCGCAGTCTGGGCTTTGAGGAGAGACGGGGGTTAAAGAAGGCTACACAAAGTTTCCCTTTTCATGGCAGATCAGGTACTGGGCTTCCAGCCAATTCATCAGGGCTCAGATCTTAACTTTACATCGCTGCAAATTATACCCAAACCACATTCAAGAAGAATTTTCCCATTCCCAAATTCTCTTTCAAGCCGTATTTAAACTCGCAAACCAAAAGCACATTTTCAGTTTAAAGACACTTTGCAGACACTCGCACAACAATAATCTGGAAATTAAAACATATATTGTCCCTAATTGCGAAGGTCTGCCCACACGTTGTCTGCAGAGTCGCAAGGCTGACAGGTATTTCTTTCGGAGCATTGCCCAAGCTGTGGAAACAAGGGGCTGACTCTCCATGTGTGGTATTTCTCCGGGTTTCAATTCCACATCTCCCAGCGCCTGCCTCGCCGCGGTTTTTTATTACACCGAGTGATTAGATTTAAATGTATCGTTCGCTTCGCTATCGAGTAACCGAGAAAGACCACACCTTCCTCGGACGAATTCCCAATCCTGCCAAAAACACTAACTAGTTGTTGGAGGGCTGTTTCCTTTTAATTTTTTTCCTCTTTTCCTCCTCGGAGCGGGGAGGCACCTGGCTGTGATGTACCTTTGATCACCGCTGTACCGTACCTGCTCCGGGAAGGCTGCCTGCCCTTGCCCCATTCCCCGCCCGCCGCCACCTCCCCGCTTCCCACGAGTGACTCCCCGAGAGGGATCGCCGCAACATCCGCGGGACGTCCCGCAAGGCTCCGGGCCCTCGGCTGTCGGCATCGTCCCAGGAGATGCGCCGAGGCTGACAGGAGCTTCCCTGTGGGGTTTCTACCTGCTGTAACAGAACTTAACCCAGTATCTTTCCCTTTCCCCATCTGCGGTGGTTATGCTACCCTAAGTACTTCGACGGAGAAGAAGTAATTCCTCCGAAATTATTCGTGTTGAGAAAATCGGCCTGAACATTCCCAGCGCTTGGAGCTAAGAAATGAAGCGAATATATTTCTAAGCGATAAATGTGGAAGCGTTAGGATACAGCAATAGAGCATGCAGATCTGGCCATAACTAGCAAAGATTAGCGAATATATTTCTAAGCGATAAATGTGGAAGCGTTAGGATACAGCAACAGAGCATGCACATCTGGCCATAACTAGCAAAGATTAAAACATCCCCTTTCGCTCATAAATCAGACTTCAGGCACGAGAGGACTCCTACCCTCAATTTTAGCCTGCCCTGAAATCGCAAGGAAAGGAAGGTTTTCTCCGATCGACCGTTTCGGATTTTTTTCCTTCTGTGAAGGGAGGAGGTAAATGTGGAGGGTGAGGCGCCCGGCTGCCGTGCCCAGCACCGAGTGGCCCCGGCCTGCGCCAGATTTTCTCCCCGCGGGCCATTCGGCTGCCGGTTGTGGCCAGCCCAGCTGCGGCACAGCATCTCCCCGCGGGCGGCGGAAACTCCATCGCTCCGAGTCGGAGAGCTCGGACCTCCGTCCCCCCCGTGTCTCCCCACCCCGGACCCCCAAAAGAAAAAAATCAAATGTAGCCTCTTAGCAAGCCCCGCAGGAGGGTTTCTAGATTTAAAAAAAAAAACAACAACAACAACAAAAAAAACACCCAAACAAACAAAAAACCCAACAACAACAAAAAAAACCCCTACAAAAAATACAAAAAACACACACAAAACCACCACCACCAAAAAAACACATGCACCAAAAAAAACAAACAAGCAGAAAACAAAAAAACAGACAACAAAAAAAAAAGTCAGGAGAAGGTCCGAAATGAGCCTCCGGAATGATTTGATAGGCGTTAATTACTCGTCCTGTTAGCAGAGCTGCTCCGCAGCAGCGCAGAGCTGCCGGATGTACGGAGCTCCCGGCGCCGCTTCCCCAGACCACCCTCCCGTCCCGCGGCTCTGAGCGCCCGCGCCTTCTCCAGGGACAGCAAACAAACGAAAGACAAACTGAAAAATAACCCCCCCGCCGCCAGCCCCCATTTTCACCGGGAAGAGGAGAGAGGTGCGGCCGCAGCTGCCGAGTGGACACTGCGCTCCCGCGGCGCAGGGGTGAGACAGCACACCCCGAAACACCTCCCGGCACAGGCAGCGCGGAGCCCCCGCCCGCCCCCGGCTCCGCGGAGCCCGGGCAGGGTCGGGCCGGGCCGCTCGCTCCTTTCCCGGGTGCACGGCGGGGATGAGGAGCGCAGCTCGCTGCCGCTCTCCGGCCGTCTGGTCTGCATTAGTGTTTTTATAAGGGGCTCAAACAAATCGAATACAAGGTCACCAAATAATTAACAGTTGTGAATTCCCTCCTTTCCCATTAAAATACTTCCCTGTTTATATTTCATTTTCCTTCTGCCAACGACAACACTGCTTGGGCAAAGGCGCTGCACAGATTACACTACATTGCAGCTTTCGGTCCACCCAGAAACCCGGTGTTTTTGCATAAATATATTGTACTAGATGAACTTCAAGTGGGATTTACGCTCTTTCTTCTGCCACATGCACAGCCGGGCCATTTTCCGTTTCTGCACACGGGATCCCCCTTTCGTCCTAGCCCTCTAATCACCACCGTCACGACCCTCATGGCAAGAGTAAAACAACGATGTTCGGATCCCTGCCCATCCGAATCAGCTGCCTCCCAACTGGAACAAAGAAAACGGGTAGGGAAAAAGGAGACGATTTCGACCTATTTCGATTTCCCCGTCCCTGAGGCGCGGACCGCAGCATTTCGTATGAGGGAGCCGTGCCGTGGTGCCGGTGCTGCGGGCAGCTCTGCAGACACAAAAGGGTGAGGCGAGGGGCACTCGCAGCAGCCGGCTCTCGTGGCAATCCCTTACCACGGAGATCCTTCCGAAAACCGTGCTCCCTCGCACTCCGGCTATTTCTTTTTTCTTTTCGATTTGCTCCCAGTCATGCCGCGTTTCTTGCTAGCTGTGGGATTGCTTGTTTATAACTCCCTTCTCCAGCTCCCTCCCGCTCTCTTTTTTTTTTTTTCTTTTTTTTTTTTTTCCCTGCCTGGTGGAGTCCTTGCAGCTCCTAATTGTCCTGCCTTGCTGTGGAGCTCCAATGCTGGGGGTCCTGAGGCCAGTGAGAGCACCATCTGCGTTTTAATGAGTTACTTCATGTGCCAACAGTAATTTTCCTGCATTCAGCTAGGTCCTGTCTGATCTTGCGACCGTAACAAGGGGGAGCGAGTGGGGGGCGGGAGGGGGTGGAGAAGGGGAAATCGCAAACCCTTTCCCCCTTTCTCCTCTCTTTTTCTACCAACGGGGGAAAAATTATATATGTATTAAGCAGTAGCGCGGCTTCACTCCCTCTCGAGCTACCCTGAAAACGATCTTATTAGCTTCAAGCGGGAATGGACGAAGAGAAGCAAAGGGAAGCGGCTGTCGGTGTCTGCACAGAAGCGCTCTGCCCCGCAGCCTCGGAGGGCGGCGGAACCGGCAGGCTTGGGACTGCTGCAGCCGGGAGCTGCTGCCGGTCCGAGCCGGGCGCCGAGCAGCCCCGCCGGACGCTCCCGCGGACACGCAGGCACAACAGGAAAGGTATTTCACTGCAGAACTAAAAGTTGCTTCGCGCTCCTCTGCGGGTTGCTGTTCCCCCGAAATGCTGCCATGCAGGATGGCGTGCGGCAGGTGGGACGGCCACCGTCATATCCCCCCCGGAGCTGCCGCTTAGGTAAAGAGCAGCCCATCTAATTGGGTCAATTTGGGCGGCTATATTGTCTGCAAATGAATTGACAGAAAACCGCCCCCCCCCTTCCTTCCCCGCTTTCCCTGAGCAAAGACTGTTCATCATCAGCACAACTCCAGCTCGCCAATTAACTGGGCTAGGAGCCCACGGGGAGGTGGGCAGTAAAATAGCTACCACTTCAGAGGAACGGAAGCTCTCTTGAAGTTTTTTGGTGATGTGCCATCGGCTGGTCCACTTCATTATGGGAGACTAGACAATATTTGATATGTTATGACATGAACACTCAATTAGATCACTGAGTTGAAATACTCCAATCAGTGGCTTGATGCTAAGCAACCCTCAGAAGGTCCAGCAGAAGGTCACAGCCTGTGACACATCAAATCAAAATCAATGGGGAAAAGTGAGGCTTTTCCTTAATCAAACCAGGACTCCCGTTAGCAAATCACTTCCCCCGGAGTAGAATCTCACATGCAGCGAGATGAGCTAAATTTGTCAAATTAACTGTCTTTCTTCTGCTTATCAAGAATAAGATGATATCGAGCGCTCCATTTCCTGTGGCTCGCAGAATTAGCACCCCGTTTCCTCTCCGTCAGGGGGAGCGGTCCAGCTCCTTTCTGACGGCTGAATTTTCAAAACCGTGCTTTTAGAAAGCGAGTCCTCTTCTCCCCACCCCGCTTTCAACAGCGACGAAGAAAACAACCCCCATAAGGCGAAGGCGGAGAGAAAAACCCCTTGTCCCCTTTCCCCTCGAAAACATCTGCGGGCTTCCGACAGCGAGGGGCACATTCTGTGGGCGCTTCCTCGCATCCTCCCCAGCCCAGAGAGGCGCGCCGGGCACTGAGGAGGGAGGCGAAGAGCCCCGCCGATCTCCCTCCCAGGGAAAAGAAAACCCGAGCCATGGGTAGCGATGGGGCAAGGGGCTGAGCCTTGGGTGCCGTGGGCGGGGAGAGGCTTCCTGCTCGGGGAGGCGGTGAAGGGGGTCGGTTTGGGTTCGGTTCGATTTGGTTTGGGGCTACCGGCTTCTGTAGCTCCGGGCGCTGTGTTTTGCCCTAAAACGGCTGGGACAGGGCGGGAGGGCGGTGAGCTGCCCCGGCTGCCGGCGCTGCCAGCCCCTGGCAGGTACACCAGTGCCCGAGGAGGCGCGGACGGAGGGGAGGGTCCTCAGATGTGGGAGAGGGGGAGGAACGAAAGCGCGACCTTCATTAAGAACCTGTTAATTAGTCTGTTCTTAATGGCTTACAACCAGGATAACGAAAAAAGGGGGGCTGGGTGGGATAAAAGGGGCAGGGAGGCGTTTTTATGGAAGAGAAAATTTTACTCTGGGTCTACGAGAAATGTGCACCCGCGGATCCGGGTACGAGCGATACCACAATGAGAGAAAAGCACAGGAGGGCCCTGGCCGGGGCTGCAGGTCACGGAGGGGGCCGGGAGCCCCGCGGCACCGCTGCTGCCAGGGAAGCTCTGCGGCCCGGCGTAGCGGGCCCCGCTGCCAACCCCGGCCCGGGGGTGAGTGAGGACTAACCCCGCATACAGTCCAAAGGATGCGACCCCTGAGCAGACGTCAAGTCCGGCCACCCCTCGCTGAGTCCTGGTACCGGGCGGTACCTGGGCTGCACGCTGCGCCCCCGCAAGCGGAGCCGGAGGGTCCCAGCGCGCTCGGACGGGGCCGGGGCTCTTCCAGGTAACCCCGATAACGCGACCCGAAGCGAGAGCAGCCTCAGGCAGACGATGTTTGCCCTCGGTCAGTTTAAACTTTCTTTCTGCCGTGCAGCCGCGTCTGTAAGAGTCACCCTTTCTCCGGCGGGTGGAAAGAAACCAGAAGAGCGATATTTAATTTAATTTTTTTTTTTTTGCAAGGTTGAATTTACACCCAAATTCCGCCTGCAAAATTGGGGCGTGTTTTCCACCACCCCATGACGATGCGGGGAGGAACACTCGTGTTTCTCGCACGCAGCACTTAGGGCTGCCTCGGCTCGGGTTCAGTGCCGCGAGGCCGTTTGCTTTAAAACAAAACAACCCGACTCCCAGTTTACGGAGAGATTTGCGCTTTCTGCAATACCGGGGTGGGGAACAGCACCGGTGACCACTGCAGCGCGCTCCTCACCTCCCCAGCACCAAGCTCCGCAGGACGGCAGCCTCGTACTGCGGAGCGCAGCGGGAAGGGGCAGCCGCAGCCCCGGGGGGACCGTGAGGGGCGTAGGGGGGCAGAACTTACCTCGTCCCCTGTCTACAAAACTAGTGATGGTATTGGCGGATTTGGACGACTGAAAAAAGCTGGCGTTGATGCCCAGTTTCTCCGCGATAGAGTAAGTCCTGAACAGAGACAGCATGTACTCGTGGGGTTCCGCCCGTGGGAGCGCCCGGTCCATGGCGTGTCCCCCTTGCCGCGGGCGGCTCTCCCGTGGGGACCGCGGCGCTCTGCGGCTGCGACCACCTTTGGAAGAGGCGGCGAGCTCCGAGGAGGCAGGGAGGGAAGCCGGGAGGCAGCAAGGTAAATCCCAGAGGAGGCTGGCGAGCAAGGCGGCGGAGAGCAGGGCCCGGCGCGCATTCATAGCGAGAGGCGGCGGCGGTGGGGAGGAAGAGGAGGGCGGCCCGACGTGCGGCTCCGGCGGCCCACGGAGCGGCGCGGGGACTGCGCGGCGGCGTGGCGCGGAGCGACGACTGCACCCGGCCGGGCTCGGCCCGCAGCCGCCCGCCCCGCCCCGTGGGTACCGCCCCGCCGCGCACCGCCCCGTGGGGGCACCCAGCCCGCCCCCGCGGGGCGGTCCGCGATGGGGCGGGACACCCCGCCGTCCGGCGCTTGGGGGTCTCTGCGCTCCCTCCTCGCTGTTTACTCCACGCGGGAAGCGGACACGAGGGCCCGAGGGAGATGCCGCGCGTCTTGCTGCCACCTCTCGGGTACCGCTTCTCGTCAGGCCACCGGTGCTGTCGTCTGTTCAGGCGCCTCACAGGTTCTCCAGGTTTGAGTGTGGGCAGACTCGTGCGATGCTAATGATTTTACTCGAGAGTCTCTGTATTCCCGTGGCTATGTGCCCGAAAACTTGGCACAAAGCAGGGTTCTTACAAGAAGGAGAATTTGGTGGCAAGTGAGGGTGTCACCTTCGGATGTGCCAGGGCCCATCTAGCTAGCAGCCTTGAGGCACACCCTGGCACCCATTAGAGAAGGAAGGGAAAGCACAGGATGAGCCAGACACCATTCTCCTCATCTCAAAATCTGCAAATCAGGCATCAAGAGGGGACCTAGCACAGCGCCAGGCTGGGGCTTGGCAGAAGGCACCACTGGGCACTACTGGGCAGGCAACACTGTCAAGATAATCACGGTATCCTGGGGCAGGCAGGAAAGATTCCTCAAAGCAGGGTGCCCATTTGCCTTGTCCTGGTCATGCAAGAGACAGCAGTGGAGCAGAAGTACAAGGATTAAGAAATTCACCCACCCCTTTTCATTTGGCTTTTCAGAGGTGCATCCTTCAGCATAGAACTGGTGTCAGTTCTCCAATGGTTTCACCCAACCACCTGTCTAGGGTTCACAGCCATGGACAAAGTATGGTAACATGCTTGCATTATTCTACCTGTCCTGCTCACTACTTGCTTCTCCTTCACCTTCTCGTCTTCCTGCCTGAACCATGGCCCTTCTGCTGCAGGCAGCCACAAACCACCCTCCTCCACTTCTCCATGTGGCTTTTCTGTGCCCTGTGCTGAGCGTTCCTCCTTTCCTGTCCCATTGTCCACTTCTTCCTACCTTCTCCTATCTGCCCCAGCTCTGCCACTGGTGGATTTTCCTTTCATTCCAGTAAGAGGTCATGTCTGTTTAGCTGTGAAATCCAGGTCCACAGTAAATAAAGGGAATCCATCCCACATTGGATCTGAGATCTCTGAACATGCTTCTCCATCAGCTGCCATTCTTCATGCAGTCATACACTAGACTCGGGGACTTGTCTTTTTCTTCCCTGTTCTAATTTTCCACCAAGAGAGAGTAGCTCCTGCCTGGGCTTTTGGCACCACTCCCAGCACAGCACAGGACCAGTGAGATGAGGCAGACCCTGACAAGGCATATGATGCAGGCTTCTAGCCTGGCACATCCCAGTTTGCCTGTAGGGTGCTTAGTCCCACTGTGTTCCCCATCTCCCACGGAGAGATGCTAGAGACTATGAGGAACACAAGGGGAACATTCAAAGCAAGGGATGGGCTCAAGTTCCAAGTGAACCAGGCTGCATCTCTACTAGAAAAAAAGATAATTCCAAGACAGGAGCTCACACTATCCTGCAGCCCTCTGTACATGGCTTAGAGAGCTCCCTGGTGTGGTTTTGGCCCATGCCAACTAGCACTTTCCCAGCCAATACCCAGGCCTGTTAGAAGTTATGGCTTGTGCCAGGGGCTGTCCCAAGATGGCCATTTGGATGTGCCCATGTGGATGTGGGACACATCATACAGCTGGGATTAGAGAATGGGGCCCGTCATTGCCTTGGCTTCTTTTTAGCAGGATAGATGTACTGCGAGGTGCTGGCAGATGAACTGTGAAGAGACAGGGCTGCAAAAAGTATCAGTGACAGTGCAGAAATGAGGCAAGCGTTCTGCAAAACCAATTCCCACTTCATTCCGTCCCATTTCTTCACCCCCTTTTATTTATTGTGCTTTCACTTCTCCTGTCCGTCCTCTGGCTTCACAGACACCCTCCTGACCACTACCCACCCTTTTCATCAGCTGCTTTCTGCACTGGGAGAGTCCCCTCTCCTCCTGTCCCTTTGGCTTCTCTTTTCTGATGCCTCACTCCCATTCTTTCTGCTCTGTACTTAGCATTTTTGGCTATTTTTTTCTTGCCATGACCCAGTTCCTTCCGGAGCCTTATCATCACTTTTTTGTTTCCTTCTGCCCCTTTTGTGTCCTATTCACTTATTCCATGCTCCTGCTGGCTATCTCCAATCAGCTGCCCAGTTCCAGTTTCTTCTCCGTCAACTTCTGCCCAACCCTAACCCCCCCAGGCTCTTTCTTTTCTTTCCTGCTGTATTTCATTGTCCTGTTTTTCTTTTCTGATATTGTTCCCACTTCCCACATCCCCTCCTTGTGGTCCCAAATGCTGCTGCTGCTGCACGGCTGCCCTTTCCCACTCTCACTCCGCTGGTTTCCAGGGTCCCCTCTGGTGCTCACAGAGTGTCTGTTCCCTTCCTGCCTTTGTCTCTTGGTCTGTCTCTCTTCTTCCCTCTTTGTTCTCGGCTTTTTCCTCCCTTGGCCTCCTCCTTTCCCAAGGGGAGGTGGTTTTGTACTAATGCAAAGCCGCAAGGTCTCAAGAGCAACTTCCATCAGCCTGATTTAATTTCTACCTGCTGCTTTTGCATGTTTTAACACATTCTCTAAAATTGACTTGGATGGCTGCTTTGCACTGTCATGTCTTTATCAGGGGCCTGACTTGAAGCCCTCTGCAGCTACAGGGCCTTTTCTCTGGCTCTTATGACCTTTCAGGCAGGGTATAGGCAGATGCCCCCCAGTTGCACCCCAAGACTGTTGCTTAGCAGGCGAGAGTGCACACAGGTAGCAGTAACAGCCATAAATAAATAGTCTGTGTTGCTTTCCAGCCTGTTTCTCAAAGTTTTAGGTTGCTCGGGGTTGTCCCTGTGCCAATTTGGAAGACAATGCCATTGTTCAATACAGCTAATTGCCAAGACAATCATTTAAGGGAATGACAGAGTAAGGAACTGTGGGGATATAACACTTGTGGCACCTCATGGAGCAGCACAGTCAGGTCACTGAGAGGGATCTGGCCATAACTAGCAAAGCTGAATACATTGACCCATCTTAACAAGTTTTGGTTTTGATTGTCCCAGAGAAAACTGTGTGGAGCTGGACCTGGGAACTGGAGGCAGGAGTGGGCACTTCGTGGGGCAGCATGAGAATGAATCAGCGCCTGTGAGACACTTGGGATCCCTGCTTCAGTGCATGGCAAAGAGTGAAATAATGGCAGCAACAATAAAAAGAGTAAAATAATAGCAGCCACCAGAAAAGAAGAATAGTGTTTTAAAAACTTGTTTCCTTTCTGGTTTTCTCAACAATAAAAGTTGGCCAGATTTCAGTTTATAATTGCATTATACATATTTTGTAACAATTTTTTTAATTTCAAGGATGTTTCTCAGAACTAAAACAATTTGGAGACTGCAAAAATGCAGTTTTAAAACTAGTTTTATTAATTTCCTTGCACTAGTGCACATACTTTTCACATCTTTCACATTTTTTCTTTCTGTGAATTTACTGTTCTGGGGAAAAGTATAAATGAATGGAGGAAAATTTGAAAGTCAGGAAGAAGTCCAAATCAAATGTGATTTCTTTCATCTAGAAGGTTAATGGAAATTTCTATTTCTATAATCATAACACAAACAGTCATATTGAGGAGGAATGTCAGAGGTTAAAATTCATCCCTGCAAAGTGTTCAAGCCAAGATGTAAGCATCACTCGTTTCACCTCTGGTTTGTGGTCATTTGTAAGACTTACTGTGGTGCCTAAGGGATTTGAGTACAGAGTTGATCAGTTTGTAGATATTCCTCCTTAGTACTTTCTTCTTTTTGAATCTAGGTTGATGCTTGTCTTAACATGAACAATCTATTGTAGGATTTTTATTTCTGTGAACCAAAATAATTCTTTATTAGGATGACTAGAAAATGTACCCCCTCAAACTATGGGCTTTTCCCCACTTTAGCACAATAGGCTCCAAAAAAGCCGTGGTTGCACCACATAATCAGGGGGCAGGGACTCCTACCAGCACAGCAGTTAGTACATTTTCCAAAATGCCTGTCTGGTCCATATGTGCTGGTTTTCAGCAAAACACCAGTCTCCACGAGCCGTGGCTTTGAAAAATGGGATTTATTTCTTTTTATCTCAAAGGCCCTGGTTCTGAGGCATTAAATTCTTATCCTTTTAGTGTCAGCATTTTTAGCACCTCTAATTTTTTTCTGCAGTGCTCCTGAAAATGTTGGTTTTCAGTGTTTCACACTGGTAGGAATATTTATTTTTCAGCAGCTATGTTTTGGCCCAGGAGTGGTTTCCTCTTCCCACAAAGGATCCTTCCTTATGGGTAATGGGCTAACTCCTCTCCCTGCCTCCCTCCTGCCCGGACTGCTCTGCTTTTGTCTGAGAGTATCTTCTGAGATGAAGCACCAAGCTCCTTCTCTGCTGCCTACATTCTGGACCATAGCATTAGCCAAAATTTATTTTTTCCTTAACACAGGAAACCATCCTTTTTTCCTAAATATATTTATTTCAGCATGTCCCATCTCCAAACTGTCAACATAAACCTCAAAAGTCTAAGCAGATCAAGATTTTTAACTTCCAAAACTATGGTGTATGAATTAAGAGAAGACAAAGGAGCATACCCAAATAAATG